CGTGGATCGAGCCCCAAAACGTCGATTTTATGGCTATCGTGAAGTATACCTTACTCTTCTTTTATCTCAGCTTCGACCGGTTAGAACAAAAAAAAAAAAGAAAGGGAAAACACAGTAAGAACAAAGTACTCTCTAGAATCTAAACATTGTTTCGAAAGAAAAAGCGGATATTTTGTTCTGGTTGAACTGAAGTGATACTGTTTTGTATTGGAAAATTATAGACTGAACTATGGTGTTGAAATAACTTTTTTTTTTCTTTCTTTAATTCAGGGTCGTCTAAAATCATAGAGGGCTAGTATAAGTACGGAGACGCTGCGCAAGCGGAAGATTATGTAGGCAACAAGCATTAAAAAAAATAATGAAATGCCAAGTGAGCTCTTATATCGAGATAATCCTTTATGTAAAGGGCCAAGCGAGCTGGACAAGAATGACAAATTTGTGTTTTCCTTTCTCCCTCTTGTTTCCCCTTCTCCAGGGATTATTTTCGAAACTCTTATGTCAAGCTTGTATTTTATCTTGTGTACTTTAATGCCTTAATTGCGACAAATAATACCATATACTTCAGGCAGGTCAATGTTCTGTTTTGTTAACTATACCTGTAACCCTCTATGCATAACCTCAGATATTCAAGATTCCAAGTAGTTTAATGAAAAACCCGATTTCTCCTTGATTACAGTCTGGGAACAAAACGCCCGTTTTTTTTTACCGCTCATTTAAAACAAATATATATATATATATATATAGAACACGAAAACGAAGGAAATTAGATATATCTGAAACGAATGGATGTATATTTGATTTTTATTTATTAGAGCGCGCTTTACGTCTTTTAATCCATCAGTGAGTATATAAATCCGTAGACACACTGCTTATACATCAGACAAAGGACGCGCTGTTCGCCCCAGACATCATGGCAGAGCTACCCCCGGACTCGACTCAAACATGTCAAAGCATGTTTACCTTATTCGAACATGTCTGGACAATTTTTTGTATGGCCCATGTTATTGTCATTCAGGAAAGAAACATGCCTTAAAGAATGTCTGCAGCCTGTCGATTTTATAATGCACGCTTAGGAGTGCGACAGAGGCCTTAAGGTTCGCAGATTCGCTCAACTAGTCAAAACTCTAATTCGTCAAAAGTTCGCGACAGTTCTGCTACCCGGAAGAAGCGCCCTCCACAGCCAGGGTCGTCCCGAGATGACTGTCAGAAATTGTGGCCTGATTCCGTCGGAGCATCCGAGTTCGTTGCGGGGGATCTACTTGGAGGCGGCTGAGGGCAGCCACAGTTGGTCTTCTTCATTGTGCGCGTAAACAGGAGGAAATTGCTCGTGGGGGCTTAAAAGACCTGGAAGGGCGCCGTCGCTTCTGAGCGAAAGTCTGAGTCAAATGGGCTGCCGGGTTTTAGAAAGCGGGGAGTGGATGTGACTCGGACGGTGTGGACGCTACTCTCCGCTCTAAAGAGACAGTATTTTGTCAGTGTCATACGTGCATCTGCTGTTCCAAGACTATAAAGGTGCGTTGACTCGTTTTTGTTCCTTTTGAGCGCTGTGAAGGCTCAGAGTTTATGAAAGAGAATGAAATCCGTGGCTTGGCGAAGAAATATTATCTTAGCGTGCGCGCCTGCGCTAATTTATGATGCGGAATTTATGCCGGATGAGAGTTCAGCGGCACGAAAAAATGATGTATCGTGATGTGAATCTGAGTGAATCAATAATCCGTTTGTGACCAACGTTGCAGGCGGCACGTACGTGTGTATACCTCCTTCAATTGTGCCTATATCTGATTATGCGCTCAAATAATCTGATATGATACTTTAGCTTCTGAACGGCAAATGAAGTTACGAAGGACGATATTATATTTATATATACATAGTAAGCGACAAAGATTTGAAAATCATTATTGCTACAACATCCCTCCTTGGTTGGTCTCGGGAGGGTCGTCATCGCAAATTTATGTGAATTGATCTTAGATGTCATACATATCGTAAAACTTCGGCCGAGACAATTAAGACTGCTCACGTGTAGGAATGTGATAGCATTCCTACACGCAACGCATTCCTACAAGCAGCGCGCTACGCCTTCCTTTTTCACATGGCCCTCTGGCGGTGACATCACTCTCCCCCACTGCGCAGGCTTGGCACCACCGCCGGCTCCACGGCTTCCGTGACGATGCATCTGCGGGGCTGCGCTTTTCTTCGTGTTTTAATTTTAAAGCGCGCCCGCTTTGACCTTGAGCGCCCCGCCGCTTCCGTGGCGAGGCAACTGCGTTGCCTCGCCACGGAAGCTGCTGGTTTGCTGCTACAGACGGGCACAGACAACGCCGCCTTCGCTCCGTGGGACAGTTAAGGCCTTCGCGTTAATAATGACACATTTAAATTGCCGTTCTGCTACAACAGCTCTCGGTTCATAGGGGGGAAAGGGGGTGGGTGGAGGGGGGCTTGTTTGCGGCAAATAGACAGTCCGATTAACAAATATATATATATATATATATATATATATATATATATATATATATATATATATATATATATATATATATATGTATATATATACTGTATATATTATTAAATTTGAATGCGATCGATTACTTTGTGCACGTGGTAGCAAAATATTCCTAGAATTATCACGGGACTATCTAAGCAGTTGAATTACAGTGCCTGGAAAGCGGCATCGTCTGTTGTGTTAAGCGTCCTATCCCGCCAATGCATCAGAAGTAGCCCCCAAGTGGCAATGAATGACGTCACAAAAGCCTGACTCTCATGTTGTCGGACCTCGCGATCCTGGCGGTTGGAGGCTTGAAGTCAAGGCGGAACGTACGAGCGGACGCGAGTGTCGCTGCCGTCGCGCAGTCTCAACCCTGGCTGCTGAAGCTGCCGCCGGCTGAGGGACCAATTCTCAGGACGACGTAAACAAACCGGTGGTAGACGCGTTGGCAGGCACGATATAGTTTGATGAAGGAACGTTTACCCAGGGCAGGTCGGTACAAAATGGTTTCGAATTTCAGGGATAATTCGTTTTCTTTTATTTTATTTTGTGATCGTTGTTTATGCTGGTGGCATTGTAATCACAACGAAATATTCCGAGTGATAGTGTGCCCGAACTGAAACACCCTCGGCGGCTCCGAGCCAACAAAGCGCAGGCAGGGATCACCGGGTGGCGAATTCGAATCCCGGCCCAAGTGTCCGCAGTCTAACGAAGGCTTATTGCGGATGAGGCGCGATGTAGCCTAGCTTTGGGTTGCACGTTAAAACATTCCCGGGCGGTCCAAATGAATCCTCACTCCTTCGCTCGGGCGCGTCAGAGGTCCGTCGTTGTTTGGGCACGTAAAATCCGCTCAACTGAAACACTGGTTCCGCCACTAAAATTTTTTGTGAATAACAAAAAAAAAAAAAAAAAAAAAAAAAACATGATGTGCGATATAAAAAAAAAAATTATTATCCAGTCATGAATTTAAACAGTATTTCTCCCAAATACAGTAAAACATAATTTACTGACTTTTCTTTCCTTCTGAAATTTTTTTTTCTTAGTTAATAGTTGAAGATATTTCGAAATATTGTAAGCGATCCTCGTGAGGCTGCAGTAACAACTTTCTGTCAAATAATATTCTTGAAACAATGAGACTCACTCAGAAAATTCAAAATATAAACTAGAGTACAATGTGCATTCCAGCGTTATAAAGATGCGAATGATCCGCGGATGCATAGACGCTCCTACAATTAGTTTCAGCTTAAAGGCTGAACTCCATGGGACGAATATGCTGCGAATAACCGACGAATTTTGGCCGGCGGCTTTTGCTCTGCGCGTGGAATCAACACGGTGGCTGCTACGTTTCACGCAAAGCGAGCGTGCCGTCGGTCGGCGTTCGCCAGTTATTCGTCACATAATTCGCTCCATGGAGCTCAGCCTTAATTCCAGACGCAGCCGATGCTACAAGCTCGAGCATGTGGCCCTGAACAGTGCTTGCGCTGCACGAGCGTGCATGCTTGGCAGGGACGCTGGACGACGGAGATCGCTCTTGTAGCTCCTGCCACGCTCGCACTTATACCCCTGTTACCGCTCATTCACACTGGAAGCGGATCCGCGTTCGCAAAGCGGTTGCGAACGCGGTTGTATAAAGATCCAGTGCAATTGCACGCGCACCTGATGACATCAAGTGCGCGTGCAATTGTACTGAATATTTATACAACCGCGTCCCCAACCGCTTTGCGAACGCGGATCCGCTTCCAGTGTGAATGAGCGGTTACACGGACGCACTTAATCGCGGTTAACTCAGATTAACTGCTGTTACGCGGCACCACAGATACCGCACGATACTCTCGAACAGCTATTCCATAAGAGGTGAAGAGCGCGCGTGCACTGCCTTGGTGGATGATCAAAATGCTCAAGCGCACGTTCGGCCGTAGCTTTGAGTGCGTAGCCGCAGAGTGTTGTCGGCAAATATTGCGCGCTAACTGGGGCTTAGCGTAACTGCAGTTAAGTGTGCCCGTGTAACAAGGGTATTAAAGTGAAACGGAGTATAGTTTTTACATTGGCCAGTATCACGCGATTCTAGAAATTATAAGGAGCGCACACTTTTTCCGTCCGTAAATCTCTGGGAGTCAGACCACCAGCCCATCCCGGTTGCCAACTCCGCCACAATAGCGTTACTGAATGCTAGTGTTGCCCCTGATTTGTGCTTTAATATTCATATTTTACATTTGATATAATAGGCCAAATGACCCTTTTTTGTAATAAACCAATCAATCAGCCTTATTTATAAAATACATTCATCGGTAAAAAAAGTTTAGAAAATACGGACGTACGGATTGATTGTTCCCACGTTTCCTTCAACAGAAAATAAAAACGTTTAAGGCTAATGCCATTTAGGAATCGTAAGCACAACTTACAGAACGAGCGAATAATTACACTGCCGCTTTTGTAAGCCGAAGGCGGTAGCAGGCATGTGTCCAGTTTTATGCGGGGGCTATATTTAAAACCTCTCCTCTTGTCTAACTCTCCGCAGTGTCCCTGCCTGAAAAGCCACGTGCCATCCCCGATGCCTTCCCCGGAAGACGTTCACCAGCTTCGCTGCTTCAACTCGTCGGATTCCCCAAGCCGTCCCATGGGCACAGTGTCCAACCTCAAGCTCCACGTGGGGCGGCTTTTCAAGCCCGCGACACACGGGTCCGCGCCTAGCCCGTCACCCCCGTCCAGCCAGACGTCCATCCCACCCTGGAATCCGGCGCGCCGCATCGTCACCTTCGTTTGTCTCGTGTCCCTCATCTGCACCGCCATCATCGTCGCCGTGGTCGTTGCCGCCGTGCTCCTCTCGAAGCACGTCATGCAAGCGCCCAGACCGCAGCGCTATAGAAAACTTCAGTTCAACGCCGCCGTCGAAGTGGTGCCCAAACCGCAGAACCTCGTGGACCGAACCAACACCATCGTGGTCCACCGGAAGAGTCCGGCGGCCTGGCAGTCCCAGTCCCGCCAGCTCCAGAGTCTCCTAGACAGCTACAGGACCAAAGGCCCCTGCGATCCAGGAGGCGCCTGCTCTTTTCCCGTTGGCCTGGTGAGCGAGAACTGCAGCGCCACCGACCACTTCGGCTATAGGACCGGTGCTCCTTGCGTGGCACTGGTGTTCCGGAAGGTGCAGGACTGGACGCCACAGCCGTTCACGAAAGAAGACCTTGCCTCCCCGACGGTACCGGAGGACGTTCGGGCCGGGTATGACCCGGGGTTGCTCTTCGTGAGCTGCAAGAGCGAGCACATCAACAGGGACATTGACATCCGCTACTCGCCGTACCACGGGTTTCCGGTGCGGTTTTTCCCGGCCAGGGAAGGACGACTACCCCCGCTCCTCATGCTGCACTTTCCCAATCCGCCGCTCAAGACCGAGGTCTGGGTGACTTGCCGCTTCTGGGCTAAGAACCTGGATCAGACCGGTAACGGCAAGCTGACTTTCAAGTTGTTTGTCATGTGAGTCGCCCGAACGCTGTGCCTCAGAGTGGCGTGTTTGACCACGGTGATCACCTGACTCCTTGACCGGCAACCGATGCGAGTCTGGGTCTCAAGAGACAATGAATGCTCGTGTCAACGCATTCTGTAAAACAAATATGCTGATGGACTGTGCCGAATCGCTCCTGACTCGGAGCCTCTGTTTACCATTAGAACTCTCAGTGCTCAAATATGTCACGCAACTTGTTCAAGTCGTGTGCGGTAAGGTGTTGTCTAAATGCCTGTGTTTTCAAGACGAGCATTTTACTCTCACACCTCCGTGGGATTCATTATCAGTGTCCCTGCATTCGTTTGTTGAATAACAGCGCGTAACTGAGGTGAACAAGAAAAAACTAGGGTCATATTTTTCTCGGGTAGTAGCTCGAGATTCATAAACGTAAAAGCTGCAGTGAAGTGAAATATTGATCATGTAGTAGTTGCCATTTTACACCAGCATGCAGTGGCACACTGCCGATGGTCAATGTATTGGCGGCAGTCAGCCATCAGACACAATTCATTCACTTTCATTCAAATCTTAAAGGGGTCCTCCGCCGATTTCTTCATGGTCCCCGATTTGCTTGAAATTTTGCTAAACTCGCCAAACATCGCCAAAATAGTATCCCAAATATTAGGTCAAAATAATTTTTTTTCACGAAGTTATTGAATTTACAATTTCGTCCTAACCGTGTTTTTCAAACTGAAAGTCTCTACTGGCAACAATGAAAAAGTGACGTCATTGGAAGTGCAGGGGTTCACTCTTTGGACTGTAGAATTTGTTCCCAACTGATTCGAAGCAGTTTCAGGGTGTCAAATGAATGCTTTGGAAGCTCGCTCCAGTTCCCACGCTCCAGCACGGAACAAATGATTGGCATATTCTATTTTTTAGACTGCTCGCCCGACTGGCAAGCTAACCTTCCACTGACGTCACGGCCCTGAAAAGGGCGGGTATATTTGAATGCTGGTTTTTGGATCATTTTCATTTGCCGATTTCGCAATAACTATTATGAATTTCACGATACTAAATAGCATACCAGAAAGGGCAAAGGCCGGGGAGTCAGAAAATATAGTTAGTTGAGGTAGCTCAAAAATCGGCGGCGTACCGCTTTACCCATGGTGCGATTTCGCCTCCGATTTTGCAGCTTTGGTGTTCAGTATCACAACTTTCCTTGCGTTTTTTTTTTTTTTCAGCATGAGCGACATTGAAATAGCGAAATCTCAGGCAATATCGCACCATGTGATATTTTTGTTTTTGAACTTTATAGCATTGCGGACCTCGCTCCAGCTATATGTACCAAACCGATGTGAATTGACAATGTGTTCAAAGGTATTTATATGAATCTGCTTTACATTATGGAGTGTACTAATTCTTGTATATTGCTTAGTTATTTAATATATGTGAATTTGTTACGTGTGTTGAAGCATAAGTTATTAATGACCGAGATCTTGTACATACGGAATATTTTTATACATGTTGGGTGCTATCAATGTTGTTGTAATTTTGACATCAGATCGTGGCAACTATTTTTGGCTAAGGATAGCGCCGCGAACGCTCGCATATTCCGGTCATACAAGAAGAAATGAAAACTTGCATCGTAATTAAATTGAGCTTTCTAACCCTCGACGATCAGCTAACCATTGGGTCATTCATATGCGCACACTAGAGTTAACTTTGCTTAAAGCAAGCTATTATCAAAGTTAAAACTTTTCGAGACGTCAAATTGTCTGTCATCGCCGCCATAGCTTTTGGCCTCCCTGTCTTGTCCTGATCTCGTGAGCTTACCCTAGGAACACTTGCTAAACTTTAGCTCATACTCCGCTTCTGCTGGTCATAACTTATGAAATAATTGGCTATCATCGCTGTAATACGTTAACTGCCCGAGGTTACCAGTCGTACCGCACTGACCAAATTCCATTTGACAGCGGAGAGAGGTCATCTTATGTCATGGCGTGATTCCCTCTGTGAACAGCGACACGACTACTTTGACTTTTCCACCTTAAATATTGTCCGTCTTATCGCACGATAAGAATCTACTCACGTAATTGTACTGCAATATGGAGCACTGACGTCCGGTTAATACCCACATCCGGTATACCACACTTAATCATTACTTGGCGAGCTACGAGAAATGGAGCCCCGGGGTCCAATTTCGACCACCGCCAGAGCGAGATCTAATTTTCCTCTCCCGGAGCTGGCGAAAGTAGCGTTCGTGGACGGTTTCGTCTGCTAACGAGAGCGAAGAACGCAGTTCGTCTGCTACTAAGCCTCATTCGCAGGCTGAAATAAATCGAGAAAACATCGTACGTCGTCTGCTCATAGATCCGAGCTCTGCGGTGTCGTGAGATTAGACGCAGGCTGACGTTGTGATCTTCTGCTATTTCACGTTGGAAGTCATTGACAACCAACGCTCCCGTCGCAAACCTTAAGTTGTTCCGCTGCCGAACATAAGGTGCCATCGACCGGTGGATGAAGGAGTATTAGGGGCAATCACATCAGAGGCCGCGAGACTTCCCTTGGTATTTGCATGTTGGTGAGACGTTCTCACCAAATAATTTCCGGATTGTGAGCTCATGAACGGGTCAAATATGTATAAAAGGTTGATAACGCACAAGCTGTGGCGCCACGTCCGATCAGCAGCCTAGAACGCTCACCTTCTCACCTTGACAGAAATCAGTCCGCAGGGGCGTTTCCGCTGCTCTTCGTTTCGGAGTGAGGCACTTGAAAACGGACGAAATTACATAAATAGCGGTCACGTTCCTTATTTGGCCAATATTATTGGCTCGCTAAGAGTCATTGAAAGTTGAGCAAAAGACGAACAACTTTCTGGATGCAATGTTTGAATGAAATATATGACTCAAGTTATCAAAGTACGTTTTTGCAGACTCTGATAGGCGCCTCCGAATGAAAGTGTTTTCTTTTATATTTATTGTGCGGCTCATTTATTGCATTAAGTATCAATCCCTCCAAACTATTTTTTTTTTCAAGTTTTGCACAGTTTATTTTAGCGTCGTTCAGTGTAGTTTTTACCGAGATGAGACTAACCACGGTAATATCTAATATACTGACATTGAAAGTACCGGAATGCCACGATCAGCGAAACGTCAAGAGCATTTTTTCTGTGCCCGCATCAGAGGAACGCTTCCGACAATGCTGTTCCAGTATTTCACATCGTTCGCTTTTTATTATCATGATGTTAGCTAGCCGTACCGTCATTACTATTTTACCGTAATTCCTTAAACAGCACCTCCATACGTTTGTACCTAAAAGTACGCCTTGGAGTCTAGAAGAAGGTCTGTCCACTTATCGACCTGCTGCATCCCGCGGGTATTTGGTTGGGCATTCAACTAATCTGGTGTACGAAAATGCAGTCAGTACGCAGGCAAGCTGGTGGAAGTTCACCATTATGTTTTAACCCAGACTTGGACAGAAGGAGGAAAAAACGTTCACAGTAGTAAAAAAATAAGTCGGAACAGACAGACCAGCTTAAACACGCTGCCTGTGCCTATTTCTGTTCTACCACTGTCGAAGCTTTTTTCTCCTTCTGCCCCCGTTTCGTGTAAATACATTACAGCCTGATGAACCTCCATTCAAAACTGATGTCTGGAAGCCTGCTCTGGACATCACATTGAAATCTTTCATATCACTTCGCAGTATACTCAGTCACTCGAACGCCTGAAGAGGGACAACCCTCGTTAGAGCCAATAGAAAACTACGCTCAGGATGTCGACACTCTTTACCTCCATGTTTAGACGTCGCAAGGACGGTCATTTGTATGTTCGAGTCACGTGACAACGATTCCTGGCCGCCATCATATTTTTGCCTAGAGCCGCACGGGAGCCGTTGGCGACTGTCAAATTCTGATGTGCGACGTTAAAGAGGCTTTCTATGGTTCACGGAGATCATCGTGGTATCCTACTACCCCATTATGGACTGTTTTAGCTAGCACGACGACGGAAAGTAATTCTCGCGTTTGTCCTTGGGCACGTCAGCAGAAGCTTCTAGCAGCTGGCAGCATTGATCGTACGCACTGGTATTGCTGAAGTGTGGCTAATCCTGAAGCGGCGCTTCTTCAGTCGCTTCAGGCCCGGAGGAGCGCTGCGGTTTAGTCTAAATATAGCATTCGAGTCCGGGGCTTATTGCAAAATGGCCCAGCGCTTCCCGTCATCCCTTTTCTTTCTATTTACGCGAGCTCGTTTCCTACTGGATAGGGCGCTGGCTCGTTCAAAAGAAAATGGGGCGGAAGTTTGCTTTAAGGAAATCTTAATGAATTCACGCGCACGAATGTCCCGGGGGAGCACAGTGACTGCTGTCTCTCCCTGCCATCAACAATGCGCACGTATTCCATTGCCAGACCAAGATGCTTCGAGCGCCCGTATTCTGCGCACCATGGGACTTTGTGGCAGCTAACGTAACAAAACTACGCCGCTGACAGCGCACGCATAAATACGAAAAGCGCCATGACGGTACATGTTTGCCGCTGCTTGATTGGCTCTATCTGGTCGAAGCGTTGGCTGCGGTCAGGCTTACTGCGAAACCAACGTTACTAAAACACTCAGTTGGGAAACTCGCCGTCGAAACCTGGGCCGCTGGTGTCCACCGACACCGAGCTAAATGCGACAACAGCGCCACTCTTTATCGTTTGTCTGTACTGTGGTCACCTTGAGCTTTTTGAAAGCCTGTTTTTGCGTAAAAACAAACGGAAAAGACTCTTTTTGTATGAAATTTATTGGAGTTTTGTACCAAATGAAGGGAGCGTGATGTTTTATAATCTTTAGTTTGCAAGGCTTTGCGGAACAATTAATCATGTTTTTATACAACCATGCCTCAGCGGTCCTTTCAGGTAGCGCGTCCCGACCTAGGTGCATTTTAACTTCGGTAGTTGGACGCGGCGTGTGCGCCGGGGGGACGGGGATGGCACCCCTGTAACCTCGCCCGCTGTATCTGTTCTTAAAGCCAAAGTAGAAGCCACGTGCAGTTCCTCCAGTGGCCGCTGCGGGAGAAATGGTGGCGTTGTGTTCGTCATTAGCTCGGTGCTCGGAGACAGATTGCGGCCACTTTTTCAAAGCTGTCTCTATGGGAGTTTCCCAACTGAGTGTTTCAGTAACGTTGTGTGAAACCAAGCATGCGGAGCGGAAGTTCGTCTGCTTCTTGCTGAGGAGTTGCGGTGACGTCAAAAAGACTCCGAGCTCTGATTGGCTCTGGTTGAAGATTAGCGGGTAGACCTCAAAGCAAGCTGCCTTGCGGTCTACCCACTATCCTTCAATCAGAGCTAATCAGAGCTCAGCGTTCTGACGTCACCACGACCTCTGTAAATGAAGCAGACGAACTAGCACTCGTAGTACTTCGTTTCACATAACAAATTTTGCTGGATCTGAGCCACTGCTATAATAAAAAAAAATACGCAATGATGTCCATTGCACTGAACTGCCATCTGAGTAGACCATGAACAGGATTCCAAAATTCTCATTTGTTGTCCTCTCGAAACACAATATTTTATTATCACAATCAGTAAATATAGACCCGACCGTGATAACGTCAGTTTCCTTTTTGCTCCTTTTCTTATTCGTGACCTTACAGCATAGCTCGCACTTTTCGGTCCAGTTCGACCGTGTCGATCGAAATTTGCACCGATTTATTTACGAAGGTGCCAGCTGAGCCCGGCTGTCCACAAGGTATGCCACGAAGTGGACAACTTCCGTATGTGTGCATAGTGTCGCGCTTTGATTCTAGTCTCAATAAGATGTCTTTTGGAGATGAGCGTTGTATACCTGAGGATTGAGGATGCCGCTGACCAAAGAAATAACGGCGCTTTGAGTGTTTCTCTGTGTACATAGTTGACTGTATCATTTCCTCGGTGTATGCGTCGCGTCCTTGTTTTGTTGGAAGCAATAAATGAAAACCAAAGCGAAGTCAGAGGTGTTCTGTGTTACTAGCATGCACTGTCCTTTTAAGTTAGATCGTCAAACTTTGGATTTTGCATCATCAAGCGGCACTAAGCTTGATAATATTGCGAGTAAATGATTTAATTCCCAAATTGCTCATAAGAAGTCTCGAACATTATAAACTTTTGTCACAGTTCTAAAGCAAAAAGAATAAAAGAACACGATCTATACAAAGCTATTACACCACTATTATTTATTTATTTATTTATTTATCTACTTATTTCCAATACTACTAACCCCATTCGGGGTTGTTGTAGGGTGGTACAGTTTGAAATTTTACAAGCAGAAAGATATATTCAACACCCAATCTGCAGTTCAATATTCAACGCAAATATAAAAGTCAAGAATGAAAAATTTTAATTAGTAAATAACTTCCATACAATAGATGCATTGCACTTTTAAAAAAACAGCATAAAATATTAGTTCGTCACGAAGTGTAAACATCTGCGTGATCGAGAAAGATGTCAATAGAAGAAGATTGAACAACATTTTGAGGCAGCTGGTTCCATTCGTTAATGATTTGGGGAAGAAAAGAGAATTTAAAACAGTTATTATAAGTGACGTCCTCCTCATAAAGCTTGCCATGATTGTACCGTGTTAATCATTTGCTTGTAGGGATAAGGTAATTTTCTTTTGGTAGGTTAAAGTGATCCTTGGCTAATCCATATAGAAATTTAAGTCTGGCCATTTTCGCTATTTTTTCTAGAGAGGAGAGACCCAGTTGGGCCTGCAAATTTCAGAGGGAGAGACTTGCAACTATATTTTTTTGCAAATAAACCTTGCAACAATTCTCTGAACTTTTTCTCCCTTATTGATGCCGGAAACTGTGAGGGGGAACCAGACGACGTTGGCGTACTCCAGCGTAGGACGTATTAAAGTTTTGTAGGCTAACAATTTAGTGGCAGGAGACGGAAATTTTAAAACTCGTTTAAGGAAACTCAGTTTGTTTAAAGCTTTTTAGTTGTGGAATGAATGTGCGACTCCCAACGCAAATTTTGACTTATGTTGAGGCCGAGGTATTTGGATTCACAAACTTGTTCCAAGAGGTTGTTGCCTATCTGGTAAGGAAAGGAGTATTGTTGTCTTTTATTCGTTATGATATTCGAACTTTATCTACTTTTGTCGTTATTTTGTGGCGCTTTAACTTTTACTGCAGATTTTGTCGGATGACTCGCTCCTAGTGGATTTATGTAAGCAGATTCTTCTAACGGATGAGCGTCAGATAAAAATTAATCATTCCAGAAAAGCACTTCAGAAAGCGTGGATGCGCTTGCTTTGAAACAAGTGCCGACAACGCACTTCTTCATGATTTCATTGAAAACACTGTACATTGGGTAATTGTCGGGTCGATTGGGGGGATCGGTGGCCGAGTGGGCTAGCGCACTCAAAGTCGGAGCATGCATGTGGAGCGAAAGCTCGCGCTGCAGATCCCAGGATCCTGGGCTCAATCCCCACCCCTGCCCGTCTCGATCTGGATGTGCAACGTACCGGCGTGCGGTCGTGTATCACTGCTGTGGGGTGCACGTTAAAGACCCCAGGCTAGCGGCTCTACTGCACTGGCAAAATTGCTAATCTACAGCTGGGGGAGTCGTCGCCCGTTGAGGTAGACCAAGCTTTAGGGTGTATAAACATACGCACGACCTAATTTTGTCGGGTCGATTCGCGTGTTACGACACACTCCCACTTCATTTTGTGGTGCACACTGAGACCTTCGCATATGTGTTATCGAATCAAACATGCTGACCCACCCCGGCATAGGCTCGTGAGTTTGTAGGCCGCGTTCAAGTTGTTGAACGTGAGTACGAAATTTCACACGCACTTGGTTTACCTCCTAGTTGGAGTGTCGAACTTCCTTTCTGGTTTTCCGAATACTACAAAATATTAGTTTTTAAAAATGACATACGGGAGGCTTAATTTCTCCTTGCCACCGCTCAAACGCGACACGTCCAGCCCTACTTGAACTTCTGAACATTTGTGTTTTTATTGTCTGCTGGAGTACACTCCTCCCGCCCCCCCCCCCCCCCCCCCCCCCGGGTCGAAAATAAAAACAAACAAAACAAATAGGGCATCTTCGAAAAATATGCAGCTCAAGCTCAATAGTTCTAGGTTTTTTTGCGAAGCCAGTCATAGTTGTATCATGGCGCACCAATGCCAATTTTCTGCAGTCACGGAGTTTTGCACCTTAATTAAGAATCTTTCTTTTTTTTTTTTGCGGACGAAGAAAGATATATTTTCTTCACACGCGAAAGAACGTCATGCCCACTGCCCCATGAAGAAGCGATATCTGTAGAGGCAATATCTGGTAAGGCTTTCGATGTGGTTTTATAAGAATCATTTTATACTGATAGATCCAACGAGAATCTCGCTCAAAGGAAATTAAAAGATGCAGCAACCTCTTTCAGATTAATTTACGAGGGTCTTCACTTCACTGGAATTGGACGACGGCAAAAAGTAAGGAAGGTGATACTTCTGTTTTGTTGTGTTAATGTAATTTAATGTGTGCATAAAAGAGTGAGCTTGATTTGTAAAAGAACAGGAAAGGTGACGACACCTTAAGAACAAAAAGATTTGACAACCAAACCCATAATGGCGGACACAAAGAAATAAATTGTCCCGGAGCATCGGTTCCCAAACTCAACGCCAAATGAATGTTCCAAATATACGGCTAAACTTTTTAAATATAATAAGTTCGCGGTGAAATACAAATAAAACATACCCAAACTTTCGTCACCAGATGTACATTGTACACCAATGCCCGAGAGGAGATCGTTTGCGGTGTTTCCATATCTAAGCATTCCTGGCTAGTCCGGCATCAAGATAAAGAAAATAAGCTCTTCTGCTGCGAAAATAGCCAAGTATTATACCGAGGTAGACACCTGGCTTATGGGTCCCACAAAACCCCACAAACTCAGAGGGTCCCATATTTATTTATTTATTTCCAGATATTACTACTTTCTCATGGAAAGTGGTGTAGAATTGGGCTCCTTTTGGGGGTACAGAACATACAAAAGCAAAGATAACATAAACAAAGAAAGGGAAAATCAGGACAAATAAATCAGGCACATTTCCACTTTGCGTACAAATATTAGTTCTAAATTCAGTACATTTTGAAAAAAACACTACAAAAGAAAGATTTGATAATACAGAAACCAGCAAGCCCTAACAGTAGGAATAGCCAGGCGCAATTAATGAGCAAACACAGACAGTTCACACGCAAGTAGATTTAAATACTTAAAAAGTGGCAGATCATTTTCAATTATATTCTGAAATTAATATTTTAAGATAAAATCCGGAAATAACTAATATCAAAAGAACCAAAAAAGGCTTAATACATCAGCAGCCTCGCGCATGTTGACGATTGAAACATTTATTTAAACACTGAAAAGAGTGATGCTTCGAATGTGTGAGGATACGCGGCATTTACAATCTCGGAAAGCCAATTGTTTTTAATCTAACAGTTTTTGGGCCAAATTAAAGCATGAAACAATAATTGTGACATCTATATTCAGTAAGAGATAAACTATGATAGCTTCTTGTGTTCCTAACTGATTTTGAACTGACACAGATTGTCTTATCGATTTTAAAAGTCAAAATGAGGTTGTGTAAAATATGTCTGTTTATTACGCGGTTGGAGTGGCTCGATAGCTGCTAAGCTAGCAAACTCTAATCTATATTTGTTTTAAATAAATCCAAGGGCCCTTCTTTATATTCTTTGGAGCTTGTTTACATCAGTTAAGGGGTGGGGATCCCAGATAATGTCAGCCTATTCTGAGAGGCCCAATCACCCATTTTGATGCTATTATTTGTGTTTCATGTGTTTCAGGTCTCAGATTACGACTAACGTACCATAATTTAAACGTTTCCCTTTGGCTCAAGATCAGATATAGTTATACCAAGATATTTAAAAGAAACTAGTTGAAGAACAATGGTATGTAGGGTGTATGAAAAAGACAATGAAGGTTTTTTTTGCCAATGATAATCATAGAAACACATTTTTTTTTATTTAACCACATTCCCACGTTTGGCACCAATTTCCAATTGTGTCACGACAAGATTGCAGGTTTTTTCTGGTCTGCGTTGTCATTTATGGAAGAAAATATATTGCACACAGAAACTCCCATAAATTTATTCATAGTCAATCATCTAGTTAGCGACATAAAAAGCGGAGTTTTTGCATGGGACCTGAGCGATCATCTTCAAATATTTCGGAGTACCAAGAGTATATCTCAAAACAGAAGCAAAACACACCCTGTATTATTTGAAAGCACTACTCTTGATCAGTTGGATGCGTTTCGTCAGGATGTTACCAACACCGACTGGACCGAAGGATTTGACGACCACGACGCCGATAGACCCTATAAAATGTTTATGCGTCACTGTTCTACCCTATACAAAACCTATTTTCTGTTTAAATCACTTACAAACTTCAGACGTATTCGAAAACCACGAATAATGCCGGATTTGCTGTGTAAAATTCGCACAAAAAGGACACTGTATAATAAGTTTTTGAAGACCAGAAGCCTAGATGATTCGAGGGTATTTGAGTCGTACTGCAATGCTTTGACAAAAGAGATTCGGCGCGCCAGAACTCGTTATTATTCTGTTGATTTTGAGTCTAACAACAGACGTGTGTATATTGTGTGGAAATAGATAAACTCAATTTTAAATCGCAATCAAACAACAAACTCTATCGAACAAATAGAATGAGATGGTGTAATACTGAAAGATTGTTTTTTATCTAACGCTTTCAACGATCATTTCGTGAGTATTACGAGCACCAAAAGTAACTTGAATTCTAGTTCTTGTGATGTGGGGAAGACGCCTCAATATTTCTTGACCCAGGTAGTAAATTTGAGTTAATTTCTCTTGTCCTGCGATTAAAAAATGACGGAAGCGTTGATGCCGACCGCATCCAGATAAGACCAGTGAAGCATGTTGTTGATTTGATAGCTCCAATACTA